TATATTTACCATTAAGTTCATAAACATCTTCATTATATATATATATAAGCTATTATTTAATGCATAATATAAAAAAAATTGTATTTTGGTATATTCGATGAAAGAGAATCATTAAAGTTATATCTTTTCTGAAAAAAGTATTTAATATAAAAATTATATTAATACAGTGATAGGAAAGACAGATATATAAAATATGTTTAACTTTTCGATAAGTCTTGCACACATGATGGACGTTAGTGTGCTGCCGGAAGAAGAAGAAGATGAGGAAGAAGCAGAAGAAGAAGAAGAAGAAGAAGAATCGACGTTGCATAATTAATTTTTCTATAAATCTCTTGCGAGGAATATCGCGAAATTTCCTCTCGGAGTAATATCGGCGAGAGCTTGGGATGGTGGTGGGCTACGAATGGGAAAAGCAAGAGAGAAAGAGAGAGGGGAAGATTCGAGGAGAGAAAATTTCCCCTTCGTGAATCGGGAGAGAGCAAGAGAAAGAGAAAGATAGAAGAGAGGAAAAGAGGGGTGGAGAGAGAAGTAGGGTGTCGAGGAAAGTAGGGAAGCTAGAGAGAGAGAGAGAGAGAGAGAGAGAGAGAGAAAGAGAGAAAGAGAAAAACAGAGAGAGAGAGACTGAGAGACGAGGATAGGGTAGAAGGGGTGGTAGAAAGGGGGAGAGATTCAAGAGAGGCAACCGAAGGGTAGAGAAGAAACGTACGGTAGAGGAGAGGTGGGAAGGGAAGATCGGGGTAGATTCTGAGCCCTGAGTGCGAGAAAGAGCGAGAGAGAGAGAGAGAGAATGAGAGAGAAAAGGGAAGGAAAAGGGAGAAAAAGAGAAAGAGAAAAACAGAGAGAGAGTGCTCTTCGAAGCGGGTCGAAGGATGCTTCTTCTTTTTCTCTGCTCTTTACTATCCTTGGATACTGCGGAGGGCGATTCTGTGGAAGAAATAATACTTTTAATAGAACATCAAAATATGTCTTTTTTTCTCTCTCTTTCTCTTTCTCTCTCAATTTTTTGATTTTATTTTTTCTCTCTTTTTTTATAGATTTTAAATTTTGTATTGTAGTTTGGTACTCTTTTTGTTGTTCTTCTTTTTTTCTTTTTTTTTTTTCGAATTTTGGATATATCGTAGACTGAAAGTATACAACGTGTTTGTATTTAGAAAAAAATATCGATAAATTGATTCGATGGTAGATATTGTTAGGTATCTTATTTTTTCGTAGATATCGAGATATCGATTCGTTTCTTAATATTTTATCGTTTTTGTATACGCGTGAATTATGTGTTTTAAATGTAATCGTAATTTTTGGCGAAATGTGCTCTTTTTTCATAACATTGTATTTAAATGATTGAAAATGAAAAATTCTCGGATGTGTTTGAATGTTTATTTTTATTTATTTGAAATAATTACATTTTATTTTGTAATTATCACAATTTTATAAATTGTGTTAAATTGAAAAAAAAAAAAAGAAAAAACCATTTATCAATTAATGTCTCATGTAAAAATCTTTCGGGAWGGTCTTTTATAAAAATAAAAATAAAAGACAAAAAAGAATAAGAGAATCAAGTCAAAGAGTAACGCGTGAGAAGTAATTAATCATCGAATAAAAATCTTTCCTCCTTCGATGGAATCTCTTTAAATAGCAACTACCTACCTACTTACTTACGTAGTGCTCGTTAACTTTTCGCGATCCTTCTTGAGGTCGTAGAACGAACGGGAGTCGACTTCCGGTGTCGTCGATCGCACGCACGGTCCATTGCCCGCGAATACAAGGTGCAAAACGCTTCAACGATTTGATCCAACGCTAAGAAAGATAACTTGGATTTTTTTTTTCAACTGAAACAATCCCGGAAGATAGTTTATTTATCTTCAAAAGTATCCGCTAATGTGGATTCTTTTTTTACAATCAAGTTGATCAAATAATTATCATAATTATTGTTCCAACATACTCGAAAAAAAACAAGTTACTGTTAATTGGTAAATAATTTTCAACATTTCTTTTATTTTGCTTTACAAATAAATTTATTATTTTTTTTTACCATTATATATATTTTTTCTCTTTAAAATATTCATTTAAATATGAACGACGAGTATTGTGTGGATAGATATATTTTGAAATATTTTTGTCTTGGGAGCTCGGTGGATTAATTTATTTATATGAAATATTAACAACAAAATATACACAATAATATTAATAATAATGATAATAATAATAACAACAACAATAAAAACATATTTTTAATGCATAAATTTTTACACACATTAATTATATATATATAAATAAATGTCAAAAAATCGTATTTATTTGTATTTCTTTTTCATGAAAAAAAAAAAAAAACGGCAGAATCCTAAATAAAAATTTGATAGAAAAATGTGTACTCGAACAAAAATGTAGGATACGTATAGATCGTGAGCGCGTACATTTTTCATCCCTTCGCTCGTAAAAGAAAAAAAGAAAAAAGAAAAAGGAAAGAAAAAAAAAGGGGAAAAAGAAAAGAGAGAGAGACGGACTTTATCTGCGACGGGAATTCGCGCGAAACTCGGGCGATGCATTTCAAGGTCGAGTATGCATATAATCGCAGACCTCTTCCCACGGTCCTTTCCCTCGCACACGCCCTTTCGCGCGTTCCTCGAAGTGACGCGGCCCCTCAACTTCCGGCGTGCCAGTTTCGAGAGCGCCTCTCGGATAGGCCGTTAAACGAGATAGAAAGAGACAGAATGTGTGAGAGAGAGAAAGAAAGAAGTATGCTCGACGTGTCCACCGATCGTTCCTGACCTTCCAGTCGACCTTACTTATCACATTCAATACCACCAAGGTCATTGATCACCAATACTTTATTCAAATTATTTTACTTTACATATTTATTCATACGATTAATTCAATATTTTTATTCAATATTATAATAATTATTTTAAAGTATAATATAAAAAAGAACGGAAAGAGAGAGAAAGAGGAAAAGAAAGAAAGAGATTGTATCTATTTTATTCTATACATTACATTATGTTATATTATATTAGTATGACAGAAGCGATAGCTAATATAAAAGAAAAAAACAATTTCTATCAACCGAAAAAAATCTAATATTCTATTTATATATGATACCGTTATAGTTTATGACCAATGAACAACCACCAAATCAAATTTCTTTTCTTCTTTTATAAATTCCATAACATCTTTACAATGTGTAATTACGATTTAATATATCAATTAAAATATTTATTTATTTTTATTAATTATTATACAGGGATTAAATATAAAATAATCAGATTAATAAATATTCAACGAATCTTTCTCTTTTTCTTTTTTCTTTGTCTTTCTTTCTGTTGGTACTCGATCGAGGTCGTCTCGAGTCTCCATCGAGCAACGTGGCCGTGCAAGAAGCACGAAGAGTTAGCTGGCCGGTGTGGGCGTCACGGATCAGCTACCAGCAGGAAGCCATGCCTACTTGCACCCGAGAGTTCGAGTTGCACAGTTTTCCTTCTACCTCTCTATCTCTATCTCTTTCCCTCTCATATTTTATATATGTATATATCTCTCTCTTTTTCTGATTTTTTTTTCTGTCTCTCTTTTTCTCACTACCCATCATACACAGCATTGCACTGCAACAGCCTGTACGTATACGTGTACATTTACGTGTACGTATACGTGTATGTGGTGCATTCGCATTCGCACTCGCGCGCGAACGCGTTTAAAGAACGATTTAAAAAGTTAAACCGACCACTTTGCGACTCGACCGTGAACCAGGAACGTCTTCGAGGAGTGTCCGTTCTTTGCTGCTACTACCCCTTCTCTGAATTAAGAAACGAGAGAGGAAGAACGCTTTTTGCGGTCAATGTACAACAAAATGCAACTTTCTTATCCGTTTCCTCGATCTCTATTAGCCTACTTTTACCAGCTCAACGGCTAACCTCGAATTTTCTACCCTTGTCCTCTATTTAGATCATTTGCTTGTATTTTTCCTCAAATGCGAATAAAACTTGGCCTTTGCCGAGTTTATTAGTAATGCAAATGATGTGGCTTCATTAGTGATACCTAAAGCTCGAGAAATAATTATTATTTTTATTTTTTTTATTAATATTTATTTTACTAATTAGTTAATAAAGGTACGACGAACAGAATAGTTTGTGAAGTATTGTTATTATTATTATTAGTTTTTATTAAATTGAAAAGTATCTTTCATACTGGTGTATTAGAAAATGTTTAACCTAATTGGAACCCTTAATTTGAAGGTTCGAAAATCGATCTCGTTTCATACATCGATAGACAGACAATAGATAGTTAATGAATTACTAAACCAGAAGATAATTACGAGGCTGCTAATTTCAAAGTTCTCAGATAAATTGATATTATCGAAGGTAGTAAACAAGTTGGTTCTCCGTTGTCCTATAACGCAAAGAGAAAGATAAGGATAAAGATAAAGAGAAAAGAGAAGAGATGGTGGAGTTTCTTGGTTCACTGGTAGTGTAGCTCTCGTTCAAGCTCTCCGAAAGAGAGAAAGAAAAAGAGAAAGAGAGAATTTACTATATATTTTTTTCCCTCTTCCGTCTCCCCGCTGAGGAACCGGTCGTCCGTAATAGCTTTTCTTGCCAACGCTGACAAAAGCACCAATGATCTCTCTCGCTCTCTCTTTCTTATTCTCTTTTACTACGTTGACGACGTTTTGTGTCGTTATTTTGAGCCGGAAGTACAACATCAAAAATTCCTTATTCTATTGGTACTTTTTCCTACCTGATAATTACTATTTTCTATTTTATTTTCTTATATTATTTTTATATTATAGTAAAGAATAAATAGAAAAGGGGGTCCTCTCTCTCTCTAACTAGTTCATACATTTTCGTATAGATGTGGTGTAAATAACGGTGAATGCTTTAGATATATATACATATATGTGTGTGTGTGTATTTATGCATCTGTCTATCTATCATTCTTATGCATAGTTTTTACTTTATATCATATAATCTTGAATATAGAATTGAACTGAAATTATTAATTTAATAAGTAATAATAATATTTGTAACTAAGAAAATGAATGATTTATACACATACATAGTTAACAACGACTAAGTCACGTCAGATTAAATGAATGAAATAAATACGCTTCTGCTTCTATTAGTTGGATTACTAGTTCCTGGCCGATAACTAAAATCAAACAACATGAGTACGGTTAGTAACATGGATGAGTGACCCGTTAGGGAAAACAAAAACCATGTGCTGTTAATAGGTGTAAGAAGGTGTTCGTAGCAAAATGACTCGAACCCATAAAAGGGAGAGTAAAAAAGATAAAAATCTTGGGAAATTATTTTATAGTCAAATTTATAAATAATTTAATCATTGATACATAATAATTTATAAGTTTAATTAATTGTAATAATATTTTCATTGTAAAGTAAAATATATTGTTTTAAAGTACCACCTCTCGTGATTTTATTTTAATATTCAATTATGAGAAAAAAAAGGATTCTATTCTTATATAATTAATTATACAAGTATAGTTATATATTAATCTTCACGTAGATTCGTAAGATTTATTTTCAGATTATTTGATTATAATTGTACTATATAATCTTGCTTACTATTGTTTTATTTTCCTATCTTTCTCAGGAAAATGTTCCTCTACCTAAGAATCGGCCTATTTTAGAACGGCAACTGTAGGACAAACTGTGTTACATTTTTAGACCTTACGTACCACAGTTACAAACCCTTAGAATCGTTACGGAAATTTCACTTCTTATTGGTAGAAATTCCTGATAAAGAGAAAAATATAAAAATAATTTAAGTAAAATATTATATTTTGTTTATAAGAGTTTTAATTAATAATAAACATGATAAATGTTAAGAAAATATGAAAAGGAGCCATATACTTGGAAGATTTAAGATTTGATAGACCGTTTTAACGATGGTGAACAAGTATTCGCGAAAGAGAGAGAGAGAAAGAGAGAGATTGCTAGGAGGTTCGAGTAACGGGGGAAAATTGTGTTTGCACAACCTCGCCTAGTGTTTCGTACTAGCTTCCTATGCAACGCGAGCATGCTTTGCCTCTGAGGAGAATGTATGTATTTATATATATATATATATATATATGTGTGTGTGTATGTGTATTCATATATATGTACGTACGTGTATGTATTATTTGTATCTGTTAGATGTATATATATATAAATAGATAGATAGTATGTTTATTTGTATATGTATGTATGTATATACACCTACATAGATACATTGAGTAGCAAATGCAGCTTCGCGGCTGACTACGAAGGTGCCGTGAGACGATGATGACGTTAGCTTCAGAGAACTCATCGTATTTTCTCTAGTTCGCCTCTTATTACCGTTACGTGATGATAATCGATTTTGCATACTACAAAAGAATATGATCTCTTTACTTTTTTTCTCTTTTTATTTATTTTCATGTCCTTCTTTTTTCCAATTCGACCGTTTAAATACTAAATTTTAATCGAAATATTATAAATTATTTTTGAATGTAGATTTTATCATTTTTATATCAAAGAATCTCAATTTATAGATCATGTTCAATTACGTAAATTATTATTATTATTATTAAATGATAATATATATTTGTTAATTGTTGTAAAAAGAAAGATTTAAAAAATGACATATCGAAATTATCGATTCACCTGGTCCATACTTGTTCGATTGATGTGTTAACGATTTTGAGAAGCGTTAATTATGTATATGGTATCGTAGGTGATCGATAAGGAAGATACTTCAGACGTCCATTTGACTAAAGCTCCATCTGAAAATTTGAATAAACGAACGAATATTTTTTTTAAATGATAATATTATTCGCTTGTTTACAAAAGTTCATTATTTTAATTAAATACAACCTTAAAAATGTAAGACGAACTTTTAAATACGCGATATAATTTTCATTAATATTTACTTAAATTTACTTAAACTCATAGAGTATAGTTTTATTGTTTCTTTAATACAAGCGTAATACATAATAGAACAAACTTTTAAAATACATTTATTTTTTTGTAATAAATTTATTAAATAATTTGATATATCGAAACATTAAATGTAATCTTAATTATGAGAGTAAAATATGTAATAATTAATAAGACGCATGTTTCGTAGGGTATACGTACTCCCTTTTTATATAAGGACGCGTGTTTTTTCGTGATTCGATGGAAAATATACACGGTCCTTGAACTTTTCTTCGCAATTAAGAAGTCGCTACGGGAAGTTAATTATGTCGGTTTACACGAAGCGTAAAGTTTCTTCTTCGAACGCGGCGCCTAGCCGTGTTAGCGCACCAACCAGAGGGATAAAAGAGAAGAGTCAAAGGGAGAAGGGAAAAGGGGACTGGAGAAAGATTTAGCTAGGACCGAGGGAAAAAGTAGATGAAGAAGAAGAAGAAGAAGAGAGGAGGAGGAGAGTAAAAAACGACACATAACTTGCGAGCTAAGCTAATCGACGATCCTTGCAAAACTTTTCTTTTTTATCTCTGGCTTTTTATCGTGGTACCTTTCTAAATTCGATAGGTTTTTATATTATTTCGATTTTTTCTTGCTTTGCTTTACTTTCCCAATCGTTAACTCTTCTTATGCTATAATTAAATATATAATTTAAAATTATTTTTATTATAATGTTGATTAGAGAATCACAAAATTGTGTTTTTTATTAATTATTTTTATTACAATAATATTCATTAATTTAGCTATTTAATAATTTTATTTCATATTCAATTTCATATCAAAAAATGTTAGAAACAATAATTTTTATTTATCTTACATTTGGCATCACAAATAATTTACTTAAATCAAATTATCCTTCATTCGAAAATAATATAATTTTATAAACTTACAATTAGAATCACATGGTTCAAATTTGATCTAATCAATCGTAAATATTTCAAAAAGACATGTTCTTAACATCCCATTTTTTGATTATTCGTTTAACAATATCATAGACGAACAAATATTTTTATTTCTATTCAAAAAAAGAAAAAATCAAATGGAAAAAATATTGACTTTTTCCTTAATAGTATTAAAGCCCTTCGTAATGCTAACACATATAGGCCACGCATACGTTATCGTCCTTTCGGTGATTTCCCTTGGAAAGGAAATACGGTCAACAGGTGCGCGTCGTCCTCTCTTGGAAGGACGCTTTGAATGTATTTTTATCGAATGGTAGCTCTGGTAGGGTCAGTCCTCGACACACCGAATCGATCGATTCGAGTGTACAAGGATCGTCCTCGTTAGGCGGGAATTTTGAATTTAACCGATGGACGGTAAATCGATATTCCTGTAAAAGGAGCATCAAATCGAACGATTCCTAACGATTAGTGTTTCAACTCTCTTTATACATCTGTCTATCTACCTGTCTATCTATATGTTTAGGAGCTTGAGGGTGAATTTGGGAGGAGGAGGAGGGCGGGGGGTGGATTTGGGAGGGGGTGTGAATTGGCTAAATTCTCACGTGAAAGTCGAAAACGAACGGCACTTACGTTAATTAGGAAACGTTCTGACACGAGCCTTCGCTTCGGCTTAACGAATACGACGCGTAATGCCGTCGTACAGTCGACGTTTTCCGGATTTCGAACTTTCACCCCCTTTCTGACTCTCCTCACTCACCTCCTCGCCTCTTTTTCCACCCCCATTTATCGCAGAACAAATTCCAGCATAGTTAGATATCAACGTTCGTAGAGTTCGTAGAATGCGTTAGTATTCTATTTTTTTCGTTCTTTTACGAGACTGCCAGTCTCATTTTTAGCGTCATTCTGAAACGGAGATGCCTTCATCGTGCCATAATAGGAAATTATTCATTTAACGTCCGGCTCGTACCAAACTTGCGATATATCTAATAGTTGGGACAATTTTTGGCTACGACGAATCATAAACCTCGATGACGAATGAATAATTTAAAATAATATACATACTTCATGTTCGAGAGTTTATCTTTCTCCTGATGTTTTTTTCTTTTTTGTTGGTCTCGCGTCAAAGGTATGTTTGACATTATTTCTTTTTGTTTCTTTGCTTTGAAATTTCGTTTGATACGTAGTAGTCGCTTAGTCAGATTATATTCGTTCATAGACGTCGTAATTTATCTGACTTTTTAATTTTTCTTTATATATACATTTCTTCATGACTATTAATTTACGTTTGTACCCCTTTTTCTTTTTTTTTATATGTAAATAATATATTTAAATAAAAAATAAAAAAATAAAATTATTCGTAATTTGGAGTTTCATTCTATCGCGAAATTCGGTCGTGGCAATAAATCGAAATAATTAACCACGTCTAAAGGTGTAATACGTCGCCGAATCGCAAAAAGGTAACGTTACTAACATATACTAGCTCCGTTACAAATGTTTTATTTAAGTTATACAGGTAGCTAATTGTATTACGAAAGTATTTCGGAAATTTCTCTTGGCGTTTTCGGTTTGGCTAGCTTTCTACGTCCTCGTGGTAGTGACGTTAATTAGGAGTTCCGGCGGTACTCTCTTTCTCTTTCTCTTTTACCCTAACATCGTTGAAAATGAAATAATGCAGAGAACGACGTAGCTATCCGTATATTTTGTAACTTTCTACCTCGAGATCGATATTGGGGATCGTAGAGAAATTGTTGAACGCCATCGTCGAATATTAAATTATTATATATTCAGAGTGAGAGAGCGAAGGTGGGGGGAGGTGTTGAGGAGAAAAAGGAAATAGAGGGCGCGAAATATTTTTTAATATTTTTTTTTTTTTTTTTTAATATAGAAAGACGATCTTCGATTGTAGATAATAATTTTTTTTTAGAACGACAATTGATCCCTTCGCGATGTATATTTGACAATGTTAAGAAAAATAGATAAAAAAAATGTAAATAAATAAAATGTAAATAAACAAAGAGAAAAAAAAAAAAAGAATTTTTTGATCCTAGGAAAACTACGCAACGCAATGCAAGAAAACATACATACATAGGTGTGTTGCTTTTTGGCTTAATATGCGACACGGTGGACTATTATTCAGTTTTAGCGGTCATTCGACATTAGCGCTTGGTAAACAAAATGGCCGGCCCCTCTTTTCGAAGCATTTCCCCGCGCTCGTCCCCTCTTACCCGCGATCGATGAAAATGGTTGCCTAGCTGCGAGCAGAATTTTGTCGCGCGATATTCCGTCCGCTATTCTCTTTTCTCTTCTCTACTCTACTCTCTCTCTTTCTCTCTCTTTACCCCCTACTTTCTCCACTTTCTTCACCCCTTTTATATAATAATAGAGACTATAATTACGTCCTATCGATCATTACGTCTTTAAGTCTTCCGAAACCTTCTCGTCGACCCGTAAAATTAGATTCTCTTGGATATCTTAGAAGGAAAAAAACACATGTCGCGTTAGTTTTATCCACGTAGTATTTTGCTAATACTATGCTAAACAAAACTAACAATATGAAATAGAAAAAAAAAAGATAATTAAATATGAATAAATATTGTGATTAATAATCAAATGCGATAGTATGTATACATTTATTACTGTAACATTATATTTTCTACTATATCAATATTTGAATTGATTACATATAGATCCCATGTATATATTAGATTTAATAACTCCAAATATAGTATAGTATTCAAATAAAAGATACAAAATTTACATATTTCCTTTTGAAAATAAAGATCGATAAAAAATGTGTAATCGATAAAGTGGTGACTTCGATCGGATCCTCGGTTGGGAATCGTGTCCTTGTTGTTATTTCAATAATCCTACCATCGATCATTAACTTTGAAACGAGCCATTCACAACGAAGCAAGCACGTTGCTTCCTCCTAAGTCGCAGTTCCTGTCGCCGCTGCCGTCGCCGGCCTAAACCGAATGGAAATATTAATACGCGTGCGTCTGCCTGAGCTAATTGTTTCTGCGGTCCGACCGAAGTCGTAATAATGTAGCAATTTGAAGTCGCGGAGGGACGTTTGAAGTTTCGCACATCCGGAATACGCTAGGGTTCGACGGGTTGACGAGTTGGTGTGTGGCAGGGCGAAAAGCAGTAATGGGGAGGGGGTTGGAAGGGAAGAGGAGGGATAGGGTAGTTGGTAGGGACCAACGAAGGGTATAGAAGAGGACCTGAAGGGGGAGGAAAAGGGATATATATATACATGATACGTCCATCGTATACGTTCGGCTTGGCGCATGCGCATAGGACGATTTGACTGGTCGCCGCACGGCTGACCACTGCCCGTCAAGAACTACTTCTACCTTCTCTCTCCCTCTTCTCCACCTCCTCCTCTTTCTCTTCCTCTCTTCCCATCTACCCATCTATACTCGTAGCCCTCCATCCCCCTTCCATCAGGCTGCCCCCATATCACGACCCACCACGTTTCGCACACGTTTTGCTCGTCGTCCTGTTCTCTTTCTCTTCCTCTTTCTCTTTCTCTTTCTCTTTCTCTTTCTCTTTCTCTTTCTCTTTCTAGTTGGAATACCCTTTTCTCTATCTTCCTCGATCGTTCCATCTCTTTCTATCTTTTTCGCACGAGTTGCTAGTTCGAAGGTTCGAGGAAAAAGTTATGTCGCGACTGCCAAGCCGCGAATTTATTCTCGAGGAAATATGTGTAACTCTGCTGGTATCGCTCGCGTTCTCTAATATTTCAGTTTTAATCCAGCCGTCCACCGCGCGCGCCACCTCCACCCGCGGCTTCACGCGCTTTTCGATCCGGGGATAATGCCCTCCTCTTCATCCTCCTCCTCATTCTCTTCCTTCTCCTACTCTTACTCTTACTCTTTCTCTTCTTGTATGTTAGAAACGGACATGGACGGGAAAACGTTGGAAAAAAGTGTAAGAGGATCGTTCGAATGACTACACGAACGGGGTATCATCTCTTTCTCTCTTTTTATCTTTCTTTTATTTTTGTCTTTTCCTCCCTTTTACGTGGGATATGGTTGGTGGTGCAAGGGGTAGAATGATATTCCTTCTTCTTGCATTCGACGTTCCACGGAAACGGGATTTATTGCTAATTCTAGAAAATACTGATATACCGTATTCTCTCCTAGGTGTTATATATATATATACACACATATACACATATGTAGTATTTTACGTAGATCCTTTTCTTATGCGGAAAAAAAGGAAGTTCTATGTAAAGATAGATCGATATAGAGAAAATAGACTAAATAAAATTGACTAAAACGATTTTTACATCCACCTTGCAGATATCCCAGTTTATTTGTGACCCTCTATGTCCTTTAAGATTTTCCTATTTACGAACGAAAGAGTACTAACCCAAGTTCTTATACCAAAGATCAGAGATCAATGCTTTATATATTTTTTTAAGATAGCTATATCAAGATAGAAAAAGATAGATGTAAAGATGAAGGAGACTAAATCGATAATGATCATCAAAATGATCGTAAAAAATGATTCACCATAGTCTTATTTTTCCTATTCTAGATCTGGATCTTGGGTTAGATCTACTCATTTGTTTACGAATGAAGAAGCATAATGAAGACCTCCCTCCCCACCCGAGAAGGTCTTGGAACGTTCGTTCTCCTCGATGAGTTGCTTCTTCTGAATGTGCGTTTTTCTCTCTGTCTTCTTTCATCTTACCAAAGAGAGGGTGAAATAAATGGAATGAAAGATAGATAGATAGATAGATAGATGGATAGATAGATAGATGGATAGATAAACAGATAGATACGTATCTATATATCCATTTTATACATATACACTTATACATGTATAGTACAGTGGTATACAGCAAGAGAGAATTGGCGAGTAGGGTAGGAAAGCAGAGGGTGAAAGAGAGATAGAGATAGAACAAGAGATGAGAGAGAGAGAGAGAGAGAAAGCTCCACTTCATCGACCGTGAGTTTGAAGCGCGCGGGGGTTGAAACGAAGAGGCCTGAGTAGGACGGGGATGGAAGAGGAAAAGGGAGCTGTTTGGTGGGAGAGGAGTAGCAAAAAGGGGAGGGAAGGTGGGTGAGACTCAGGCTATAGTGGAGTAGAGGGGTAGATAGGGGTCGGTCGTGGGGTCGAAGCGCGCCGCAGGACGCCATTTTCCTTGGAAATCGATCTTTCGAGGCAACGTTCCTCCTCTTCCATTTCTACCTAGAGCTTCGAGATCCCTCTCTTTTTTCTTTCTTTCTTTTCATTCCTTTCCTTTCTTTTCCTTTCCTTCATTCCTTCATTTTCTTTTTATTCCTTCCTACTAAATTGATTTCTTCATTGCTTTTTTTTTTCTTTTCTTTTTTATTGTTCCTGCCGTTGTTGTTTAAAAATTTTATGAATTTGTGTTTTCATAGTCTGGGTCGATATTATGGATTAATTAATCGATTCGACCTTTCGCTATCCGAAGAAGATGATGATCATTTCAATCCGGTTCGTGCTGAAAAGAGAGAGAGAGAGAGAGAGAGTGTGTGTGAGAGAGAGGAATTGTTAAAAGCAAGGGGTGATTGCAGGGGGTGGTGGTAGCTCGAATTGTAGTTCGGTTGTACTAGGTAGGTAACTCGCCGGCAACGTGCACCGTGTTCGCCCGCCAGTTTCTATCTGACAGGGTATTTTTGTGGAAGCTACGCTAGCCCGCTTTCGAACCCTTCCACCCCCTACACGTCACTTTCCTTCCTTCCATCCTTTCTTCTTCTTCCTTCCTTCCTTCCTTCGTCCTCTCTCACTATTCTCTTCATTTTCTCTCTCTCTCTCTCTTTCTCTTTTCTCTCTTCCTTTCTCTCCATTTCTCCACCCCACAATCCCGCTTGTTATCCCACTGCTTTTCGTGTGACGTCAGCGCGCTGCGTCGACCAATCACGACGAGGGTTGAATTATGGAGACAGAGACAGAGCCGACGAAGACGACGACGACGACGACGACGACGACGACGACGACGACGACGACGACAACGACGACGACGATGACTACGACGATGAGAGAGAGAGAGAGAGAGAGAGAGAGAGAGAGACCGATGCAGGCCAGATTATGCTAGCCTGGACTAGGTACGACGGCCGAGCCCTCGATGATGACGAGGATGTAGAAGACTCTGTTCCATGACATTTTCCCCGATGCAGAAGAATCGTAAATTACGTTCTTCGTTTTACCCGAAGCTCTACCTTCATTTCTGAGTTTCTAACAACTACCTACTACTACTATTACTACTACTACTACTACTACTACTATCAAATAGAAATGTCCTTACTATTTCTTTATACTTTTTCTATTTGCTATAAATATATTAATAAAAAATTGTGTATAAATAACGATTTGATCAACGATACTCATTCAAATACGTATACACACACATTTGGATCATTTTAGAAGATAATTTTTTATTTTAATTTTATAAAATAAAGTTAAAGATATGTAATTTTTAATATATTATATTTATATAATTTCTTGTATTCTTTTGGTTTTTTTTCTTTTCTTGTGTTCGTTATTGATGTCAAGAATCGAGAAAGAAAAAAAAAGTTGCTAGATCACGAAAAGAAGTATCATACCCCGTCACCTTTCACTGTCTTTACCTCTCTGCTTTCACCACGCGTGGATGTAACCATACAATATCTACAGGCTACCTATACATATACGCGTATACGTATGAACGTATATATGCGTGCTCGATGGAGGAAAATAGAAGGACAAGATAAAAAAAGAGAAAGAGAAAGAGAAAGATACACACGGTTGATAGTTAGACGCGTGCCCGTTGTGTTGGTTGCGTTGTGTTGCTTCGAAAGTCGCGTTGCTCCACGAAAGGCACCGTAAGAGAACCAAACGCGATCATCTTTTTTTCTTTCCTTTCTCTCTCTCTCTCCCTTTCTCTTATTCTTTCTATCTTTATTTCTTTCTTTCTTTCTTTCTCTTTTACCAGCACGGTATATTCATACAACTCCCTATCCTTCCGGCGTGGGAGTGCGAGCCGTTTCTTCTTGCTTCTCTCGCGTGGCCTGTCTCTTCGACAAGCTCACCACCACCGAACCCTTCCCCCTCATTCTATTCCATCCTCTTTCTACACCTCCTCTTCCTTCTCCTWCCCTCCATCCATCCACACCCTTCCTTTTCTCATTTCACTGCTACACAATGTACACCACACCGCACCGCACGCACACGTTTATACGCGTGTGAAACGGTACATAGTAGAGATGAACGTTTCTCTTCGAAACTGTTGTGTTGTACTCTGTTGCTGACGTCACGCTCTCTCGAAGACCCGCGAAATTCGTATCGCATTACGAGAGATTCATCTTACTTTTTTTCTCTTTTTTTATTTTTTATTTTATTTTTTGAGCTAGTAATTTTACGAACGTGTATTCTTTCAATGATATTCTAATCACACGATTTTTAACGTTTAAATTATGATCGAACGTTTTATTATCTGATTATCCTCATTTTTATAACGAAAATCGCATTGTATGTAACGAATTACATGTACGTGTTATCGTTTCTATTGATTCGGTTATATCAATGAGGGAATTTATGTTCATTTACAAGTAACAAGGTACATTTAATACACGGACGATAGGTATAATTGATATTGTAATAAAGAACTAACGAATAATTATATAAGGGGCCGTAGGCATTGATTAACGTTACATACTCGATATTATCATCTTCATTTAAATCATTTATAATAATATTTATTTATTTATCGGGATTAACAAGATTGCAATCGTTCAGTAATAATTAAAGAAAGAGGAGTTTCGGTACGTTAAACTCGCAAATGGAATTCTTCTCTTATTTGTTATATTTAATAACAGAAATAAAATATAGGAAAAAAAAGAGAGAGAGAGATCCTGTATCATTTATTATGAATATATTGTATTTTCTCTGATTATTAATACTCAAAAAAAAAAAAAAATACCAAAGCTCAGGCACACGTACTACACAGGCACAGATTTAAACAAGAAATAATTGCAATATCTAATAAAATCTAATTAGAAATATCTTTTAATCATCCACACAATATACTGTCGTAGAGACGGAAGAGAACGTTGTTCTATTTCTTTTTTTTTTTACAAAAATAACGCTTACAAAGGATAATTTGATTGATGAATAAATCACTATACAGCCTAAATATATATATATATATATATATATATATCAATGGAAGAGAAAGAGATAAAGAGAGCTAAGCCAAGGAAAGGAGAGTCTACGTAGTTACTTCGCTTTTCCGTTCTGCTGTTTTCCAGTTTTTGGCTAGTAGTCGTCCTCCGGAGACGAGCAAAAAGAGGAGAATCAAGAGAAAGAGAGAGAGAGAGAAATAAAGAGAGAGGGTGGAAAAGAGGAGTCCGGGGGATCGAAGGGTAGGAAACGAAGGATAGTGCGCTTGCAAGCGTAACCCGGTCAGAGCGAAGGGGGTGGTGACGGTGGGGTGAACCGGGGGCAGAAGGGGGTGTTTCGAGGAGAACGGATAGTCACCGAATCCTTCGGGGGTGTGTATCCGTGTGAACGCTTTAGCAACGTTACTGACGGTGACTAGGATAATGGTAGTAGTGTTGATAGTAGTCCTAGTACTGGTATTAGTTATAGTAATGGTGTTAGTGTTGGCGATGGCGTGATGGTAGTGAACGTACATTATCGTGAAGCTTTTTCCGTGTCGGTGTGCTTGTGCGCACCACCTAAAGAGAGTTAGACTGTATTGGTAGCTTCGATAATTCCCCCAGACCCCGTTCTTCCATTCGCCAGACTCGCGCGAACGCCATACCGAACCTTTCACGTTCACGTGTATATTTCTACAAAAAGCTAGGAGCGTGGTGGATGTGAGAGCGCAGTGTGTCGAGTCGTTCAGTCCGCTTTAGGTGGGATGAGTTCGAAGCAACCTCCACGTGAACTCGCTCTACACACCCACCTAATGTATATGTACTTTATATACATATATATANATATATATATATATATATATATATATATATATTTTATACATATATACGTATGTACATAGAGAGAATGCTTGAGACAGGGTGCGCACGCGCAGACAGTAAACTCTCGCTTGTGTTCGAGCACGAACGTGTGCCACTCTCGTCTATCGAATAGGGGTGGTTCCAACTAACACATACGTATATACTATACTATATATATATATGTATATATATGTATATATACCAGTATATACATTTACCAACACATCAAGGGAAGGTACTAACAGAGAATATATATCTATATGTACCAACTAATGTACGCGAGTAAGTCTGTATGAGTCTGTATGTGTGTATGTGGAAGAGAGAGAGAGAGAAAGAATCATGGACTAGCGTAGGAGACGATAGTACGATGAGGCAACGAGAGAGACGGAGAGAGAGAGAGAGAGAATATGGGGGTAAGGAGAGAGACAGGAACGAGGGGAAACTAACGGAACCATAGGAAGGGGGTGCTCGTTACTCGAGCGAAAGCCGAAATGGTGGGGATTCTCTCTTTCTCTCTCCCTCTCCCTCCCTTTCTCATTTTCTCTCTACCTCTTTCTCTTCTACTTCGATGCTGATGCTGATGCTGATGCTGATGCCGGTGTCCTCGTGCTTGCTACCGACTCCTGCTGGTGCTGTTGCTGTTGTTGCTGCTGCTGTTGCTGCTGCATGCTTTCCGAAGATAGAACTAACGAATAACCGAAAGACTTATTAACGTGATATAACTTAGCGTTTGTGAACGTTAGAATAAATGTATTATTTTAGAGATATACCTCTCTCTCTTTCTCTCACTTTCCTTATTCGAAAATGTTCCTACAACGATTACTTTTGTAATAGGCTGTAAGTATCTTTTTTATCAAATAATTCATATGTCTATTTTTATTTTTTTATAATGTGAATAGTAATAATAGTATAGACAGAGAATTATTATTGGTACGATGTAAAGATAATTATTCACATACATTAATGAATTTTGGTGTATACATGTAAGCACTACACTAGACTATTGAAAGCTTAAAAAATACTGTAACTACTTTTTTATCAAATGATTCTTTTGTCTCTATATTTTTTTTTCTTGTAACTTTAATAATAATAATAATAATAATAATAATAATAATAATAATAATAATAATAATAATAGTATGGAAAGAGAATTGTTATCAGTAGGATGGAAAGATAAGTTCTTACATTTGTACACAACAATGCATTAATATATGTAAGTACTTACACACATACACATACACATATATATAATATACGTATTTACGTTTATATATGACTAGGCCATTGATCGAGTTTCTCTCGACGAGAGCGTACAACTTCGAGTTACTCCTCTTCATTCGATGTCTTCATTTTCTTCCCTCTTTCTCTTCCTCTTATTTTTATATATATATATATATCTCATTTCTTTTTTATTTTTCTCTCTACGTTCTTTTACCTTCCCTCTGTACTCGTCTCTCTCTTTCTCTTTTTCTCATCGGGGGATTGGGGAGGAAAAGAAGACCGCCTAGCTCGCGTTCACCCCTCGAGCGCATCATCGTTCGTGAGATCTTCCCGGCGAATCGAGAACCCGAGAGTTTCGCGGGACTGCTGCTGCTGCTAGGGTTGGAATAATAAAAAAAGAGAAAAAAATACAAAAAAAGATCTTAAAAGTAAAGAGAGAGAGAAAGAAAAAACGAAGAAGAAAAAGAAGGGGTGGATGAGTTTATATTTTTCGATTTTTTTTTATCAACTATTACTTTTAACTGCGATTAACAATTTCATTCGTGCTATCTACATGTACGTATGTTTATACGTGTACGTATGTTTGGATAATTATTACAATTTTATAAGATACGGAGAACTCTTAAATTTTATATAAATGGATACCCTTTTGAGAATTTGTAAATATTTTCAAATGGATTTTTTCGATTTAAATGTAATACGTTATACGATTTCATAAAAATTGTATAACATATATTAAAACATTTAATATACATTTTATATTGTGTAAAAACCAGATAAAAAATCATTTTTACAGCGTATTAACGTAAACGCATCTTATCTGATGAATTATTTTTGTGGAATGGCAAAATGCGTATATTATTCTAGTAAAATCATGTTATGGTGGTAAATCATTAACGTTTCCAAGAACGTAACTGGGCTTTTGATATCCTGTCGCAGAATTCGGTCAAGTACCTCTGTCAAAGTTTAATGCCTGAAGAAACTACGATAGGGGATACTTACTTCGTAAGAGGATGAGAAAAGTGTAAGAGGGAGAGAAAGAGAGAGAGAGAGAGAGAAAATAGGGACGGGGGATGAGGGAAAGGATTCCCCAGCCTACGATTAGGAAACTTTAGCGAAACTCCGTGGACTTTAGGAACTCGTGGCAGTGGGTGTTGAAGTGAAGCGCCACGTGGAAAGCGTAAACACTCGGTGGTGCCGTCGATATATGCCGTGTCGAAGAGAGGAGAACGATTTGAATCGATTCGAACTACCTTTCGATTCAAGGTCATTCGAAGATGAACGAACGGACTTATTTTCCTTTTCTTTTCAAACTACTCAAATCCTATCAACCTTTTCTTGGTTTCTACGGTTAGCGTTAACAACCCTCTAAGAATTTTCCTTTAATCTCTTCGAGAAAGTCGTCGTCAATATTGTGTATGAGTGTGAGAACCTAAAGGGGAAAATAAAAGAAAGAAGAAGAGGGATGAAGAGAAAATGAAGTAGTCGGGTTGATTTACCTTGGTGCATTTCAAAAGAGACTAAAAGCAATTTAATCGTTTTATTATATTATACACGTGTATTATCAATTTGTTTAATTAATTATTCGAAATAATTATTTGTTTTTTTAGGGGATACTGTTTACTAAAAAAGAAATATTTTTAAGGATATATATATATAGTGTTTTTTCAATCTATAAATTTTGACTGTGCAATTAGAATAATCTTCACTAATATTTTATATATAAATTTGTGAAATATATTGTTGCAATTTTGTGTTTACTTCAATAATAGTATTATTCTTCAAATATTATAACTATGCAATAAATAATATTCATAATATATTAGAACTTATTTGATGTAAAGATAGGTTGATTAAAAATATCATTGTAATTTTTATCATTTTTACATCAATGATACATCATAATCATTTTAATTTATAGTAAAAATATAATGTATCAAACATCGATTTAATTCTAATTCATTGAACTGACATTTCAATATGAATCGAATGATTTTGTAGAAAAAATGAGGATGAAAAGTTGTAGAGGTTGATCGTGAAGTACCGAGACAGGAAGGTGAAAGAAAGCGAAGAGAACGCATTCGAGGGTCGATCGGGGGAGTATTTTTAGAGTTTAGAGAACGAACGAATGAACGAACGAATTTTTCTCTCTCTCTCGTTTTTCTCTTTTCTTTCTTTAATTCAGAGATAGATTCCATCATGCAGAGAAAGAAAAAGAGAAAGAGAAAGGTAGAGAATCCGTGGGTGGTTGGAGCGGAAGAAGAAGAAGAAGAAGAAGAAGAAGAGCGACACGAGTTTCTATTCCCAGTAAGGGGGTTGAAAGGGGGTCGAATAGGGTGTGGGTGTGGGTATAGATGGTGGAGGAAGAGGAGAAAGGGAAAAAGGATGAAGAGGAAGGGGTGTGGAAGAGGAGGAGAAGTAATGGGGAGGGTAAAGAGAAGGGATAAAAAAGGGAAAAAGGTGGAGGGCAACGTGGGTGGTGACTCCGAGGGATGGCCTGGAGAATCTAGGAGGAGAATTGAGGCCGAGGGAGTGAAACGATGGTGGTGGACGTCATTGCGAAAAGCAAAAGAGAGAGAAAGATAGAGAAGCAAACGGCTGGCGTGCCGCCGAGAGGCTATAAAAATCGTATTTTAGCGGGAGCCGTTTGTAGGTTGTATTTTCCCTTTCTATGACCCAATGCAGCTTTATCGGGTCACTCGCATTTGCATTGCGATGCGTATGTACCATACCCTATATATATATATATATATATATATATGTGTATAGCTTTATACATATATCTATACGTTTGTACTCTCATGTGTATGTCTACTACTATATGGGGGTGTGGGTGTGGATGTGAGTTTGAGTTTGAGTTTGTGGGCCGGAAGTATACGTTTCACGTACGCCCTTTTATCGTCCTTCTCTTTGCCATTTTCATAACGTCCTATACCAACTTTACCCTCCCTTTTCAAAAATGTTCCAAGCACGGATAAACGACGTTATCCTTGGAACGTGCTTTTCCGAGAGATCGTTCTAACGCATAATCGATTAGTCTAAATATTGTAAGGACATCGAGTTAAGACGTAAATAAACCCCTTCGATCGGGTTACTAAAAGTTCAGACCGTTCATTTTGTTCATTAATTATTATTCCAAGTACTTAATGGGATATTTTTTTCAGATGGACAAGTCTAGTCAGATAGACAAAACTGATTGTAAAGTATGAAAGGAATAAAGGAAAGAGATAGGTCAACGGAGTCTTTGATTCGGTTATTCCTTTTGTTGAGAAGATCGCTTGATATCTCGTAAACAGGGCTGACGGATGAACTGTTTTCGCGCCTTTCTCCTCGTTGCCAACCATTTCCCACATCATCATCGTAAATGTCCCGGCAATGGAAGGAAAGGGAAAGAGAAAAATAGAGTCGTGTTAATGGAACGAAGGAGGACGCGCAACGTAGATCGAAAAAGAGAGCTACCAGCATAGCCCGTCGCGCGTATATCTCGCGCGATTCTATCGATCGAGCTGAATAGTACGTGTATACACGTCTGCTGCTGCTGCTGCTGTTCGAGCCAAACTTGGATTCATTTCCCAACGTGTTATTTTTCCTTTTCTTTCTCTCTCTCTCTCTCTCATTCTCTCTCTTTTTCTTTTTTCTCTCTTCATATTCCAGAGATAGACAGTAAGAAAGAAAGCGAAAGAAAGAAAAAAAAAACGTTGGAGGAGTAGTAAAGGGAGTGGAGGGAACTGGGAAGGATATTATCGTAGTACTAGAAGAGAAGAAGAGACCCCGTGCATCTTTACTACCCTGTTGGTAAAACCTCTTTGGAAGAGCTGTATGAGCGGATAGTGTCCGGCGCTAAAGCGCGATGCTGCTGCTCTGCCGTTGGCGTCACGAAACTCCATTACCGACGTTTTCTCTGAATTCCGCGCTCTCCACGGACGCAAGAGAGAAACCAACGAGATAGAAGGGAAAAAGAGAAAGAGAGAGAGAGAGAAGATAGATAGAGGGAGGAAAAGAGAAGAGGAGAAACCGACGCAATGAAATTTGAACGCGCTGTGCGGCGTTCGTGTTCTATCTACCTCGACGATATCTCCCTCTCTTCGTCTTTGTCTCTCGTTCCCCTTCGCTCTTTCTCTCTCTCTCTCTCTTCGACGAATATAACCATGTTCTCTCATATTTCTATCCCTCTCTTACAAACGTTCTGTGCACGTTGCAAGAGAGAGCGCGAGTGCAGCAATAACGACGGCGCAGAGACGGAAGGGGCCAAGCCCGCTGCTAGGCTCGTCGCGGTGACTGGAGGGGGAAGGGAGCGGCGCAGGAAACTCGGCAACGCCACACCAACTCGCAACCAACGCGCGCGCGACGGAAAATCGTAGCGGCAACGTAGCACCGGTGACTCAGCATTGCCAGCGACGGCGACGGCGCCGGCAACAACGACGACGATGACGACGACGACGGTAACGACTACGACTACGACGACGACGACGACGTCGCTGCCATTGCTGCCGTTGCTGCGGCCGTGGTCGTTGCTCGTTGCTTCCATCAGCGTATACTTGGCCAACGCGTTGCTTACAAGGCTGCTGCTACCACTTCGCCGTACAGACCTTTTGCAACCCGGTTTTGTAACTCGATTCTTTATGGCGAATGCCTCGTACACCCCTCCCCTCCCCGCCCCTCTCCATCCCTGCTTGCTATCTTTTACTCTACTCTCCATCCCTCCTCTTCCTTCTCCCTACTCATCTCTCTTTTTCTTCTGTCGTTTTTTTTTCTTTGCCATGGCATGAAGATGACGTTGACGACGACACGACGACGAAGACGGAGACCATATTTTTTTTGTTTGGTTGATAATTTATAAGACTTCCTCGAAGAGAATATTAAATTATTGGACGATCATTTCTGTTTAAATTCTTATTTAGAGATACTTTTTTTAGTTGATCATATCAGATTAATGCAATTTTCGTATTTTTGTTGTTCATAGAAACGCTGAAAGGAAATATGGTGGCTGATATAGGACGTGAACGAATCGCGATGCGATCTATCCCTCTTTCTTAAACGCGATTGGTCGATTAAGCCGCCGAAATTCTATTTGTCGTTTAAAACAACGTCGCGACGACAATGATTTCTATGAATCGTCGTCATTGTTTCCGCCAATACAAGAGCGTGTTGCATTCTAACGAATAGGAAAAGGGGAGACTAACGATGAAAAACAAATAAAATTAGTGCTCGTTTATTATTCGACGACGCAGTTTAACCTATCGAAAACAAAAAAATAAAAATATGGATCCAGGATTATAGAGTTCGATGCGCGATTGGTATCTCTTCAAATGACGTTCTCCATTTTGATGGTGGTAATAGTAGTGAGGGTAGTGGTGGTAGCGGTGACGAATAAAACAAAAATATCTGGTTGATATTTAAAAATGGCTTCACATCCCGAATGGTGAAATTAAGAGGTGGAGGAGAAGGAGGAGGAGGAGTTTATACACGGTTTACCTTATAGGAGCAATTTCCACAAATACTCGTCGTATTTCCAGTGGCTATGCAGCATCTCGATGCTACACCACCGCATTATCATCACCATCGACACAACGAGGCATCCTCCTCATTCTCGTTTCTCTCCTTTACATGTATACATACCAGTCCTATTCTTAGCGCTCGCGTATCGCGAGTAACGGGCTGGACGATGACGACTCATAGCTAAAGCAAAAGAAAGAAATAAAGAAAGAAAGAAATAGACATGCAAGCAGGCAGGTTGGCAGGCAGGTAGATGGAAGGAAGGATGGAATAATAGAGGGGACAATGGAAGAAGGGAGGAAAAGAAGACGTATCGTAGATAGAGAAATACAAGGAGGAAACCCGACGACGACTACGACGACGACAACGATAAAGTTTATCGGCTGCCGATAAAGCAGAGACTCGCGATCTTTTGGCTTACAAGAAGAGCGAACTTTCTGCTTTAGGAAGGCGGAAGGGCAGAGGGAGAGGTAGCAAGTTCGTCAAATCGCCGCGCCGATGTTTCAAGTTTCCCGAGCCGCGCGGGGTCTTTTGCTCGTTCTCGTCGATGACGAAAGTAAGATACGTGCGAATGCAAGACTAGAAAATGAAAGCAACCAAGTAAGCAAATAAGCGCAGCGTTTCGAAGGCCGAGTGTTTTGTAAGTCGAAGTTCGAAACGCTGCTCGACTACGAGGCAAAATTTTTGGTACCTTTACTCAAAACATGAAGAAATAAAGATTTTCTTCATCCTTATGGGAGAAGGAGAGAGGGAATAAAGAGAAAAGGCAAAAGTCTTTTTTTCTAGGTCGCCTTCTTACAAGTTCTCCCGTCAAAGCGAAACTCTTTCAGTTTCGTCCATGTCCTTCCAACGAAACGTTCTCTCTTTTTTATTTTGTTCTAAAGATAGATAGATAGACAGATAGAGAGAGAGAGAGAGAGAGAGAGAGAGAGAGAGAGAGAGAGAGAGAGAGAGAGTTTCTATACTAAAATACTACATAACTATTCGGTAAATACTTCTTTCTCGCTATACTCTCGTAAATTGAGAAATTTTGCGATGCTTGAGTTTTACTTCAAGTTCTACCAGCACTATCTACGGATCGATCTAAGCTGCTGCTAAATATAATTATAGTCGGAGCATTAAGTTTTCAAGCCGTATCGGTTTGCTACCAGCACCAGCACCAGCACCAGTAGCAAAAGCAGCAAGAAGCAGAGCTGGCTTCTAAAATCGTTGTCTATTTGTGCGCTTCGATCTTTCTTATTATCTCAAAGTATTTGAATAATTCATTTTCGGATGTCAACTAATCATCGTCATATTATGAAAAGAATATAATACCAAATCTCTTCTACTTGTTTTTTTTTTTCTTTCTCTTCGTTTATCAGAAGATTTTGCGCCAGAGGTATACACTTATATCTGACGCGACAGATAGAATGAGAAAAACAGGGAGAGTGAGAGAGAGAAGAGAAGAGAAGAGAAGAGAAGAGAGTGGTATAATAGAAGTTGTGATCGAAACGGGTAACGAACGAAGGAGAGAGATGGTAAGGGTATAATGGAAGAAGTGGGAGTGAGAAACACGCATGCGAGGTCATCCCTTCTCTCTTTCTCTCTATGTTTCTCTCTCTCTCTTTCTCCCTCTGGTTTTATTTTTGTCTCCGTTACTCTAACCGAGAGAAGATCTATACCGCAAACAAAACCATGAAACGGTTGCGAGGAAAGCTGGGAATAGAAGGTAGCTGCAGTATCGGCGATACATCAGGATGTCGAAGAGGGAACCAATCGTTCCCTCTCTGGTGGAATTGGGTTCACGACACGCGTGTATGCATCCGAGAACGGAACTGGTTACCGACTGCGATTCGGTAAACGTGGAAAGTTCCCTAAAGAGGACCGTGGTAAGGCGCACAAGCTCTCCGATCCGATCATCATGTTTTATTTGATTGATTGCAAACAGATCTAAACTGATCGTCGTCCATACACGCATATAAATATCCGTCTATGTGTTGTAAGAGATGAAAAGAAAATCGTTGCTGGTTTCATACGATTTCTTCGTATAAAACTTTAGTGGATCAAGGGAAGGATCTCTTTGAACCGAATGCTTTCAGTTAACTTCTTAAATTGTTATCCGTTTTAATTCCTCACGTGTAGACCGACGATTTTCTTCCAATGAACAGTAACGCCTTAACTGATTATTTCATATTTGTTTCAATTATTAAAATGCGATAAGAAAATAATCATGTTGTTTTTAACTCGTCAACCGCAAAGCTAAATTTTACATATTTTGCTAGACAATTTCTAAGATTATATGTAAGGCAAGATAATATAACGCCGGTCATGGATGACTCTCGTGGCCCCATTGCGAGGACAAACGCCGGTCACGGGTGACCGACGTGGCAGTCGACGTGTTTTTAAATAAAGACGATTAGGACTATTTTTCAAACGAACTGACAACAAAAGTTTGTTTAAGCGATGATATAATTTTTTCCAAAATAACACTCGTTATTATGAACGATTTGTACTAAAAAAGGAATAATATTGTTTACACGAGTCGATGATATTATATATTTTTCTTAGTTAGCGAGTTAAAAAAATTTGTTTCGTATTTTCGAGGTATTTAAATGAAAATGACAAAGAAGATAATATTTTGTTCATAAAAGACAACGAGGATGAGGGTTATAGTATTGCTAGGACGGTCAAGACGAAGATGTGAAGCTGGCGATCGGCATTGAGAGTGAGAAAGAGGAGAAAGAGTAGAGTAGGGTGAAGGGATGGTAAAGAGAGGGTGAAGGGCAGGAAGGGGGATGGGAGAGGAAGAGGACAGCCTGCTCTCGCCCAGCCGGCTGTTCGAAGCAGCTGCTCGATACGCTTCCATCGTACTCAGGCACACGCTCGAACCAGACGAGCGTAAATGCTATACGAGAAGCGTGTGAGAAATATTTATGTATATTTCTATAATGTTCATTTATTTCTCTATATTTATAGATTTGTATAAATAATTATTAATGTTAATATATTATATATATATATATATATATATATTTTTTTTTTTTTTAAACTTATAATTAGAGAAACAATAGGAATGGATTTGATCAAAAAGTCAATCCAATTACTGTGATCACTAAATTTTTGGCCAAACCTGTAGAAAATAGAAGGTTCCCAATTTTTGTTTCTAATTTGAAAAGTTTTTTAAGACTATTTTGTAATACTTTTTTTCTTCTTCTTTTTTTCTTTCTCTAATTCATTTTATTAAGTTTTGTAGATTGTTGTATTTTATATAAATTACTTTTTCATGACAGAAAAATAAGTTAAATGAAGGCTAAGGTATAGCTTAAATGTAAAATTTGTTCTACTCGTTCTACGATACTTTACATCGTAATACGTAACGTGAGTATATATATATATATATATATATATATATATATATATATATATATACACCTACGTATATATATACCGACGTTTCGAGCGGTGTCTCCGTTCGAGACAAGGAAGTCCAATCGGATCGCGTTTTCCTGTTGCGTCACGCGTGCCAACGCATAACAGTACAACGTACGGTCTGTCAGTACGTGAGCAAACACCACCTAGTAGGTACTTACTTACTTACATGCTTAGATACCTCCAACATATGTCCATATTTACGTACTCGATCATATTATTATAATACATTTGAAACGGAAGATGTATGCAAATTTTTCAAATTCTCCTAAGTTCCAACAAATTCGCATATTCGATTATTTTGTTGTTCGATGCTATCAAAGTTTGTCAATATTCTGTAAAAATCTTTTTCCTTTTCATTCTTCTATTCCCATCACTTTCACCTTTTTCTTTTTCTTCTGGATTTATTTGTCTTTATCTTATCGATTTATCTAACTGACTTTGTTTTTACATTGAGTTTTAATCTTTTAATGCAATTGATTTAACAAATTATTAACAACCTAGTATTTTCGATTATGTTTTTAACGATGACTTTACGAGTAGAAACGTAAAACGATTTAGTAATTAAAGCAAATATCGTATCTCTGTTCGATAGTGGTTGGCAGGCCTCCGATAAATTTCTCCATATGCCATTGGTAAGGTTGTGGGTTCATCGCTTTCGTAATAATTAATCCAATCGAGATTCGCTTTGTGTGTTGGTACGTGATCCCGATAATAAACTTTTACCATGCGCCACCAAACGAATGTCAAAATCTGGTAATATAGCGATTACCGACTTCATTAATTCGAGGCACACGCCCTTTCATTCGAATCTACGTACATATGAACATACGCATTTAGCCGCGAATTAATGAATTTAATTATACTGTGATATGGTAATGAACGTGTCGATGATATCATTCTGACACGTGTTACTTGTGTTCTTTTCATTTTTTGTTTCTCGGTTTTCAATATTTTGTCCCATAAATGAAAACGTATTTTCGTCATTTTCGCTGAAAAAGTATTATTTTTTTCTTCTATATTGGTGTTTAATAATTGCGAGATTGGGAGTGAATGAGTTATCATAATTGTTGTTGGAAAAGTATTGTCTTTATTAAAAAGAAAAAAAAACGAGTTTTGTTATTTTTAATAGAACGTTGTACTTGTATTAATGATAATATTTGAACATTTTAAATCGATATTTATAAAATATGAATGATCGTCTGGTGTTTTAGAGTTGTGACTGTTCAGAATATGATGAGTTTTGTAAATTTTTGAAAAAAAAAATCGTCAAGTATTGATATTAGAGTAATAATGAATATATTCAATAAATGTAGTATAAGGTACTTCAACAAAATTTATTCGAAAGATTTAACATATATTTATAATATAATTTGTGGTAAGAATTTTTCAGGCAAATCTTATTATACTCATATGAACAATTTTTATTCATATTTTATTTTATTTTTATTTAAGAAGATATAAAATCGATAAATGAGTATAATAAATACACGTATGTATATAGCATCTTAGAACGTTCGTTTTCTATTCTCGCAAGGACGGAAGGTCCGCTAGAAGGAAGTACAGTTTCACCTAGTTTGAGGATCACGTTGACCGACATATCCGATCGCATGGTACTGTAATGGCTTGAACGTGCGGCTTGCCGAGAGGGAGGCTACTCCGTTCTATCATCTTTATGGTATTCCTTGACCGTACTCTATCTCTTTCTCTCTTTCTCTCTTTCATTCTCCATCTTTCTTTCTTTCTTTCTTACTCGTCTCGTCTGTTACGAGATCGCAAACTCAACGACCGAACGAACGATTCGTATATACTGTTGAATGCATTTTACAATTCTTGATTTTATTTTGATTTTTTACTATCAAATGATCCTTCTTCCATTGATATCATTTTCTTTCTTATTCTCAAATTGTTATTCTCTTTTTTATATTTTGTTTTAAGAAACATTTATGGAAATATTACAAATAATAGAATCATTATACTTGTTATTCAATAATGTGTACTGATCAAATTTAAAGTTCTATGGACTATCATTCATTATTATTCTTTATAGAAAATTGTACTTAAGTTCCTATAAGTGTACACAAGCCTACAAATTTCTGTCCTCATTTTTTCTAAGCAGATTTAAATCTAATTATGATTTATAGTCAAATTTTTCATAAGACTCTTCTA